TGTCTGATCATTATTTAAACCAAAGGCTATTGAGATGCTTATTCAATAAATATAGTATAACCTAAAAAGTTTCAGTCAATGTAAAATTTTATTGCAAGCACATTCAAACCATGTACACCAAGATCATTTACTAGGAAACACATGATATTGTCTAGATTCAGATTCCTATGAAAATCATTATCTCAAATATGAAAAAAGCCACAAATGTTATACCCTTAGTGGGTTGCAGAATATTTGCCCGGCTTGATTTCTTCCCTGTTTTCTTAGCATAAAAGGTAAACGTTAAATTGAGCTGGCAACAAAGAGCAGATGCCTTTAAACCAGTGGGACAATGCAAATTCAATTACATATATAGTTATGTGCTATATAATGACATTTTGGCCAACAGACCACATTTATGACAGTGGTCCCAAAAGATTATTAATACCGTACCTTTTCTATGTTTAGATATGCAAATACTTAACACTGTGTTACAAATGCCTATAGCATTCAGCACAGTAACATGCTGTACAGGTTTGTAGCCTAGAAACTATAGGCTATACCATGTAGCCTAGGTGTATAGTAAGCTGTACCACATAGGCTTGGTTTTATAAGTACACTGTGATGTTCATACAGTCATGAAACTATTTCTCACAATGTACCTCCATAACTAAGTGATGCATGACTGTATAACACAATCTAAATTTACTACTGATATATAACAATGATATATATACACAAGCACATGTGTGGCTATATACTAATTTAGACTCATGACCTGTCATGTTGAATTAAGCTATTTTCAACTTAGAAATAGTGCTATAAACTATAGAAAGGAAGTTTTATAGGATTCTATTTTAAATTTTTCAGAACTTAAGATTTAACACTTATTAGTGTTCAATACTAGTAAGTCAATAAAGCAAAACTAAAAGAAAATCAACTTCCTTTGGTTTGATATAGCAGAAAAATGCACATAAAAGTTAAGGATTCCAAGCACAAGAAAGCATATAAGGCTTGTGAATTATATTTTCCTTCTCCAGTTGATTAATCTTATCCAATTGTCTTGCTGGTTAAAGCGGAAGTGAGGCTGATAGAAGAGCTGGAGATATAATGGGCTATTTTTGCATTATTTCTTTTTAAATGGCCACAGAGGTTAAGAGGGCCAAGAAGCTGAAATTATCTTCAATCTTATACTTCTGTCTCACAGATTATTAGTTTGATCTTAATACTATGGAAGAATTAGAAAGCTCTCATTTAACTCAAGAGGTTAGCAAACATTTTCTGTAAAGGGGCATATAGTAAATATTTTAGGCTTTGTGGGTAAAGAGGCAAAATTGAGAATATTGAGTAAGTACTCATAAAAAGAAAAAATCCACTAATTTTTATTGATAAAATTTAAAATATAATAGTAATTGAGTATAATTTATTGTAATACATATCTACTAATGAGAAGAATGGAATTCTCTTTCTTGGGGATAACATTTCAGTTAATTAGAGTTCAAAATTAATGTTCCCTATCATCAAAATCAATTATAAATGTTCACGTGTCAATAATGATGTGTTACAAGATTTTACATATTTCATTTTAATGTGTCTTTTTATACAGATAAGTACTGCAAATACTGATATTAATCCACAAGCATATTTTAATTGAGCATATTTATTGCTTAGAAGACATTTATGGAATTTTATTACGTTCTTCTCCTGGTATTTGCCTTTTAACACGTTGTTACATGGCAGATTAGTCATTTACAATTGAAGGTTAGATGGAAGCTCCTTATGTGCATAGTTAAAATGAATTTTGAAATATGAAAATTTCTTTTACATTTGCATCCAGGCCTGAAAAACACTGCTGAAAATATAGCCTGACCTTGGAAAATATATCTGCTGCAAATCTGTGTAATAATGAAGATCTTGTTTTAATTTCTGACAGCACTAGAAGTATATGGTATATAAAAGCAATTTGACATTAGATGTGATTCAAATAACATTTAATTGTTGTCGAACTGATTTTACTGCAGTTTGTTTCACATATGAGAACCCCTTTGCCTTGCAATTCTAAGTTGAATTCATTAAGAAACATTAGCAATTTTGTAGCAAAAGCTAATTTTCAAAACCATCCAGTGTTCAACAGTAGTAGTTGAAGGCAGTACCAATTCAGAAAAACCTCAACCCTGGCAAGTTCAAAAAAACCACAACAAAACTTTGCTACTGCTAAGCTACCAAATTACTGTGTGGTAGGGCAAGTCAGGATATTCAGCTTCTATTGCTTTAACAAAAAATTTCATAGAACTGAGGACAGTTATGTCCACAAGAATGAAATTCACTGTTCACCCTACTGGTTTATCAACACACAGTAGATTAAAATCTTTTCCACAAAGTACTTGCCAATAAATAATATAATGAATAACCATAGGCTTTAAGCACCTTATATTTTCACACTTAGTAAATCTGTCCAACTAAATCTGCTCTACACATTTTTACCACCATCAGTTATAATGCATCTTAGCAGATTCCACTTCAGGTTGTACTGATTAGTATTTTTGCAATTTCTTTGAAAATATTTTCTCCTATAGTTATTCCACATAGACAACTCTCAGAGGCTAGTTCTGTCACTTCATCCTCAGCACTGACTTCTTGAATAAACTGAGCAGTATCAGTAACATCTGTCTAGTCATCAAGAGCCAAGGAAAAAATACTTGAGATAATTTGCCTTGATTTTTAATTGACTATTGTTGCTGTCAAAGTCCTCAACTCTTCAAGCAACTGTTCTTGCTGAGAAGCTAACAGTCTTAAATAAGTTTATTTTCTCTGGACACATTCCATCACTGCTGTAATCAAATACAATTTAATCAACTCATCATTGGTAAATGGCTTTCCTTGCCTGACCTACAAATAAGCCATTCAGAAACTTACTGTAGTTGCAGGCTTATTTTTATTTTTACTTTTGTGAAGAAATTCTGTTAAGATATTTCACTTCACAAATTTTTTTTCTGATCATTGTTTTCCTGAGTTAGGAATATTGTGATGAATGCTCAATATGGTAATGTCTATGTTTATTGTATTCTTTTAACACAGTCATACTATTATTGCATAATAAACACAATGCTTTGCCATCCAATTCAACAATAAAATAATCCACACTCCACTGTGCCTTAAAAGTATGTCATTCAAAGTTCACTTTTCTTTTGGCATGACGGGTATACAATGGTAATAAAAATAAAATGTTGCAGTATGGTGACATGTGTGGAACTCAAAATGCTGTAGGTTGTAACTGCATCACTACAGTCTGTAGTGTGCTAAGCAGTAGAACAAAGTGATGAGAGCACGACATGTGGTTTCTGTTGCAACTACTAAACTCTGCTATTGTAATGTGAAAGGAGCCATAGACACTGTGTAAACAAGTGAGTGTGGCTATGTTTCAATAAAACTTTATTTATGGATACTGAAATTTGAATTTGATATTATTTTCCTGTGTCCTGAAATATGTTATTCTTTTGATTTTTTTTCAACCATTTAAAAGTACCAAAGTCATAATTAGCATGTAGGCTATACAAAAACAGATGGTGGGATCACAGTTTGCCAATCCCATATTGAAATCATTTTATTATGAAAGGCAATACAGGGTCAAGGCACAGTGGCTTACACCTGTAACCCCAGAACTTTGAGAGGCCAAGGCAGGAGGATCATTTGAGTCCAGGAGTTTGAGACCAGCCTGGGCAATATAGCAAAACCTCATCTTTACAAAAAAGCAAAAAAATTAGCCAGGTATGGTGGCACACACCTGTAGTCCCAGCTATTCGGGAGGCTAAGGCAAGAGGATTGCTTGAGCCCAGGAGTTTGAGGCTGCAATGAGCTATGACTGCACCACTGCACTCCAGCCTGTGTGAGAGCCAGACACTGTCTCAAAAAAATTAAAAAACTAAAAGTTAAAAAAAAAGGCAATACAGAATAGAAATCTGGCTCCCATGCAGACAATGGAGCCAGATTGTCAGACTACGTGAACCTTAGTTTGCTCATCTATAAAATGCAAATAATGTCAGTACTCATGTCACAGGTTTGTCGTGAGGATAAACTGAGTAAATACATATATCATTTAGAACAGTGCCAATTATATAGTAAATTATTAGCTGATAATATTATTCACCAAGTAGGATACAATTGCAAATGGTTCTCAATTCCTATTAGCAACTCTATGTTTTAAAACTCCCACCGTAGGTCTGAAGCAAGCAGCCTTCTTGGATGAGTATTACAGATGTCTGCTGAGTAAGACAATTCCATGGTATACCACTACCGATGTTTCTGTTACACTTCCCACAATTCTTCCCGCATTTTCATTCTGAAGTAATTCAAACTGCTATGTACTACCACTATTCTCAGGTGCTGGCTGCAAGTCCATAATAAGAATAATTTTTGAACAGACCATCTCTACTCTAAATGCTGTTGCATATCTAGATTAGTAAGCAAGTAGGAATAAAAGTAAAATTTTAAAAAGTGGTATTTCTGTCAATAAAAATTTTATACTAGATCATCAAAAGATGATTCCATATGAAAGTTATAACACATCTTTTTTGTTGACAAAAAGGCCTTGGGTGAGACTCAGTACAGATATACTTTTATTATTCTGAAATAAATCATATTTATATACTTTCCAAAGTATACAAAAGCCACAAAAGTTGGATTACATTTGTTCATTCTTTAATATGCATGAGTGTCACCCCCCTCTTCCAAGCCCCCATCAGACATTTAAGACTAAGGACTTAGGAAGTTACTGTGGGCCTTTTCATTTCTTTTGGATCAGCTCCTATTCCACATTATGAAAATACACATTTGAATATACAATAAAATATGGTATCTCTGGATGATTTTACTCTTGTTTTTGCTTCCTATTTTTTTTTAACAATATAAATTACTTGTAGGGGGGAAAAAGTCAAAATGTGTTCACTAAATGACTTTAGAAAACATACAAAAGCAAAGTGCCTGTAATAGTGATTTAAATTAAAACCATAACCACTACTTACCTACAACCAAGCCACATTCAGGACAGATCATATCACCAGCTCTGTAGTCCTCCACTAAAATCGCATCTGGATGGTTTGGACACGTAACTCTTGGAAGAGCATCCAAACTAAATGAAAAAAAAAAAAAAAAAAAAAAGTAAGATTTTGAACATTTTTTTCATGTGTACATTTAAAACACAGGAAAGTTAAATTTTCAAAGTAAACATCCTCGTTAGGTTATTTTAAATTCTAGCTAGTCATTAGTAGGTAGATTCCACTGGAATTATTTTTATTAGTTATTGGTTTGCAGATAAGCAAGGCTTTCAAAACATAAATAGAAAATAAGTGTTTCTTCTCATAATATGTAGGCTACTAAGATTTTAAAAAATCTTGATCAGTGTAGTAATGACCAGCTACTGTAATACGCTGACATACATATAACCATCCAGCCTGTGCCCTCTGCCACTTTTTTCTCTGGTCAGAGAATAAAGTTCAAGCCTGTATTTTTCTACTTGTTAGTTACCTAAGTTTCACTTTTAAAATAGTACACTGAACCCAACAGGCATATAAATGAAGGATGGTAGATGTGGCTCTGCTAAACTTAAGACGTGATGATTTCACTTAGTCCAGAATTGGGTTTTTCAGCATTCAAGAAATGGATTCAAAAGCTACTTTATAATCTACTTATAATATTAATAATTTGCTCAATCATTTTATTTTGAATAATAAAGCATTTTGGGGAAGACACATTAATCTTAAATGGCCTGATAAAATCAGCTTTAAAAGCAACAAAGATATTTAATGTAGATTTAATAATTATTTCTGGGGGTATTGACCTTACAATCACAAAAGCTTGGTATCACTGCAAGAAGGCTCTTTTTAAAAATCCACTTGAAGTAATATAGTAAATTAGGTTAGGTTATGGCCATCACATACATCTTAAAGACAACATCAACTATACTTATAGTATGTAAAGAGGTATTTATGGTTTTGGATAAAGTTTCTCATGCTAGCAAATACGATTTGAAATGGTTATTCTCAATTTAGAAGGTAGATCTACTGGAAAACTGATGAAATAATCCATATCTCTCAAATGTATGTAGTCAATTTAGTCAGAACGTATCTTGGATCTTCTCATTAGGAAAATGGGAAAAGAGAATTGCTTTATTCGTGCTTATTCCATAAATTCCTGTTAGGAAAATATTTTAATAAATTATGACAAAATTAAGCAGTTGGTATAAATTATAAAAAACTATGTTGAAATAAAGGAAAATGTTAGCAAAGAAACAGTAACTACAAATTAGTAAAACAGGAAGCCATATGTAACACAGCATCCAAATGACTGATCAATATTTTTGCATTATTGAAAAGTAGATAGAAAACTCGGGTGGAGGGGAGAGAGAGGGGTGTGTGTGTGTAAAAGATATGGAAACATCTCAAGATTTACTAAGTGAAGAGTATGCTAGGAATTCTATACAACACTTAAAAATTATGAACTAATTATATACAGTAACATGGATGAATCTCAAACTGATGACCAACAGAAACTAGACAGTGGAATACATATGCCACTTATGTCAACTTTAAATCAGGCAAAACAAATCTATGGTGTAAGAAGTCAGGATATGATTTTCTTTGGGAAGGGGTAATGACTGAAGATGCAAAGGTGGCTTTGCTAGTATCTTACCTAGTGCTAGTGGTATTTGATTTTTTGACCTGAATGGTAGATATATACGTGTGTGTATATACATACACACGCTCACTTTGTAATTGAGCTGTGCATTTAAAATCAGTGTGGTAACTTCATAAACAAGGTAAAAAAAGTAGTGGACAGGGTTTATATTAGGCCACTTTTTTGGGGGAGAGGTTAGAGCCACATGTGTATGTTTGTTAAAGTATAATCACTAGGTGGACATATTTGAAACTCGGACTTGGGGGGGAGGGGGGGAAGGGCAACATATGTAACCTAAACATCTGTACCCCCATAATATGCTGAAAGAAAAAAAAAAGTATAATCACTAGGAAAACACCAAGAAACTGGCAACAACTGCTGATTTGGGGAGAATTAGATGGCTAGGAACTGGGAAAGAAGGGATACTACTTTTCATTGTATACTCTTTTGTACTTTTGCTTTTGTACTATTACTGTATGTTATCTATCAAAATAAAATAAAATCATCTAAAGTAGTAAAATTTTAATCAAATTACCCACATATATAAAAGAGGAACAACATGAATGGGGGTGGTGGAAGTAGTTATGAAGAGAAACAATAGGGAAGGAATGGAGAAAACAACCAACGATGACATTAAAACAATATAGACTACCTAAGGTGCCAAATAAGCGCAAACCCCATTTTATAGCTATCATTTATCAGGTACCTACTATGTGTCTAGTGCTATACATTTATTATTATCAATCTCCAGAACAATCCTGCAAGACAGCCTTATTTCCGTTTTAAAGATTACGCTCAGAGAATGATTTGCCTGAAGTCATGAACTAATAAGTGGTGGAGCTTAGATCTGAACTCAGAACATTTGTGCTGTTCTGTCAGAACACCAGGCAGTTTCATCGGCTAGTAAGTATACATCTTCCTCAGGAAAAAAAATGCTAACAGTAGAAATACTGCATTTACTTTTCTTTGTTCTCACTGGTACAAACACTTGAGAGAGATATAGCTGCAATGACATAAAAATTTAAGAGCTGGATGTATCTAGAAAAAATTTATTTCAAACTTTTTTAAAAAAAATTAGGCAAAACAAAGAAAGGGTATTCGTTGGGTAAAAAAAAAAAAAATCTATCCAGTAAATTTACTATATGTACTATTTAACTACTGAAACTTTTAATAAATAAAATTTGTTTATTATATGCAAAAGCTGTGTCTAAATATAACCACATTTACCTTCCATATCTAATGCCATGAGAGAATTTAAGTTGTATTTGGGTGATTTGACAAGGCTTAAGTTTTCCATTTACTTATAAGGAAGCCTTACCTGACACAACCACACCCACACAGAATGATTTGAGTATTCAATCACAGAGTTAGAATCAGTAAACACAAGTGTCATTGGCTTTAAGAGTTATTTCCAAACAGGACATTAACTAAAGCTGCCCACCCCCAATTTTTTTTTTCTTCACCATCAAATGGTAAGTCTTGGCAGTTACCAGAAAGGGCTTACTATTTTGTGAAAATGACTTTGGTGAAATTCATCAATTCTATAAATGATAATACGTTCAGAAAAATTGTGCCAGAGTTGCCTCCCAGAAGCTGTAGAATAAATTTGAAACTTTCAATACACTATGAGTTAACTAGAGGCCGACTGTCGAAAAATCAACATTGCATGACTCAGTTTACACTTATGCAAAAATACTTATACCTCATAGTGTAATGAGAGATATAATTAGGGTCTGCAAGCATTTTTCAGGTCACAAGATTAAAGCCTGTCTCTGAAGGCACTGCACACATTTCCTTATATATGAGTACATTTTAAAATATATATTAAAGAGCGACTTCCCAGCATATATGACTTCATTTTCTGCAGGAAAGATTTTCTTTAGGAGTAGGCACACAACATTTGTAAAGAAATCCTTCAGCAGGGAACTAATCAACTCTTCCGATGTGCTCAAGCTTCCACTTCAGAGGGCCGCTGCGATGGCAACCAGTTTCCATCCGGCTTACTAATGCTGACGTTCCCAACTTTCTAGCTGTCATACTGATAGGGACCTGAACTAATGGTTTCCCGCTCCTTTGGAAAGGAGAAATTATGGACCCTCGGGCTATTCGATATTCGGGCCGTAGACGGAAAAATCAGCGTAGAAAAAATTAACTGAAAAACAAGGTAGAAATATTAGCAAAAGACGGGAGGCCAGGAGCTGGGGACAGAGGAGCCCACCGGGGCCCACACAGGGTGGTGCCTGGACGAAAAGACGACCTAGGTCGCTGGGGCAGTAACGCCGACACCTCGGTACCGCCTGCGACACCCCCTGACAGTCCTGCCGTCCGCAACTGCCTTTGTCCGGGCCGGCCAGCCAGTCTCTCCGCTTCTCTCGCGTTCCTCCGGGGCGCTCTGCTCCACACGGCTGCCCCGGCGGCCGCCTAGAATCCCCCGGCGCTCGCCGCCCGCCCCTCAGCTAGCCGGGCTCGGCCTCACATACTAACCGGCTGGTAGACGCCATCTTCGCAGCCACTGCGGTTCCAGCAACAAGCAACAACAGCTGCGACGAAAACAGGAAGAGATTGTGGCGGTAAGACGCTCAGAGACCGGCTTTTATAGGCGAATTACCTGCGCAGTCGTAATAGGGAGCGGCTACGGGTCGGGAGAAAGGCCAAGAATAGTGAGATCACATACGCCACGTGCTTTGCTTTTTCTTATTTTCTTATTGTGTTTCTGTAATTTGCTATGTTGCTAGCTGAGTCAATATAACTACCAGGATAAGTCTGAAGGGAACCCAGCAAACAGGCTACACCAGAGCTACTCTCAATTTGAATGACTTAAAACAAAAAGAAAACCCTGACTTCGTGGTGGGGGAAAGCCCACATCCCTGAGGTCTAACCACCCCTCCTCCCCTCTCACCGCTCCTATTCCCCAGTCAGTTGCTCCCCTTTGAGCTCAGTTCTTACTTCCCCCAAGGGGCGATTCTTTCTTACTAAAGAATTTGGAATAAAAAGAGAAATTCACTTAGGTCATCCAGAACAGTTGTCAGTTCAGGCTCTGTCATCAGCCAGCATGCTGTGCCTTAGGCACGTCCTTTAACTCATCAGTGCAAGGGGTAGTAGCATCTGCCTTGCATACCCTTTTAGAATTGGCAGGAGATGAAACAAAACCATGTGAGAGCACTGTGTGCACGAGAGGCACGAAGATGTGAGGCCTGCCCAGATTTTTTTTTTTTCCCATGGCCTTTGCAAATTTGGCTGATAGCTAAGTAGAGAGAACTTGTCAGAATGTCTAGATACTGCAGAAGGTCCCTAGATTTATTCATTAGGGAAACTAACGTCAAAATAGTAATAATAACGAAAACAACAACACTTTGCTGAAAACAAATCAATCTTGACAATGTGGGGATTGGAAGAGAGAGGGTGTTCCATGGTTTCTATGGGAATGAGAACTCAGAATATAGTGACTGTTTTGTTCATTTGGCGATGGGACTTAAAAGCCACTGAGCACAGCATTGTTTTCTTGAGAAGGTGGGAGCTGCTAGCCTCTTTAGAAAGAACAAGGAGTGTGAAAGGCAGGAATTTGGAAACTGAAATCTAGATGGGGATGAGGAAGGATGATTTCTTTCTTTTTTTTTTTTTTTCAGTCTTCTGTAATTTAAAAACTTGATTATATTCTTGTGGGTTTTTTTTTTCCTCCCTTAATATTTGGGAAAGTTTCAAAAATGCCAACCCATTTCAGCTGTGCCACGTGCAACAAGGAAAGGGCTTGGAGGTGTTCCACCCCAATCTAGTGGAGGTTTCATGGTAGAGCATCTTAGCTTGGAAGAAGAAGAGGAGGAGAGGGCAACTAGACATCTCTTGAGGATCAAGAACAAGGATCCAGTACCTAGTGGATTCCTGGTTGGAATTCAATAATGTTTATTGAAGGAAGAAATTGAAACTCCAGAGGAAGGAGGCAGAGAGACTGGTTAAATTACTCCTGCCCCACCTGGAGAGCTTCTGATGTGTCATAACCTTGTAAAGATTTCTTTTATATTAAAATAAAGTCAGCTTAAGTAAGCCATTCCTTTTCTTTTGTTAGTATAGTATTGACAATTTATGAAGGATTTAAATCAGTATTATCCCATTTAATCTTTATTTCTGATCCTGAGATTAACACACACACATACACACGCAGCTGGGTTTTATCAGCTAAGAATCAATGACCTAGACTAGCATTTACTAAAACTTCTAGTATATATCATCATTTTTATTTAAATCAATTACATAAATTAAGATATTTTAAATAAATTGTTTATATTAACTCATCTTTTTTAACTTAGAAATTTATTTGAAAAGTTTATATCTCCAATGTGAAATCACAAATTGATGTGCTATAGTTCCTCTTAAGTATTACATGCCTTACATGCCTAGTAAATGATTAAAAAAATACTCGTGACTACCTAGAGGTATCTTTTTTAAAAAAAACAACTTTATTGAGATATAATTACATAGCACAAAATTCACCTGTTTAAAATTCAATGATTTTCAGCAATTTTACTGGGTTGTACAACCATCCCCACAATCCACTTTTTGCACATTTCCATCATCCCAGTAAGATCATTCACACCCATTTACAGTAAATGCCGTTCCACTCCTAGCCTCAGGAACCACTCATCTACTTTCCATCTCTATAGGTTTGCCTTTTCAGAACTTTTTATATAAATGGAATCATATGTTGTCTTTTGTGTCAGGATTTTTTCACCTGGCATGATATTTCGAAGATTCGTTAAATTTATCTTATGGTCTCACTTTTGGAAATATCGATATATAAGTGTCTATTATAGAAGTGACTGGATGTCTGGATGGTGATGTTGGGGAAAACGGCAAATTCCTTAACTTAAGCAAGGTTTGACAAATATTTGGAAATTATAAGACATAGTCTGCTGGACTAGGAAGAAAAGGATTTGGTGGACTGTATGACCAGATCTGACTGGACTTTTTTGGAGATGGAATTAGACTCCTAGAATTTTAGACAAGCCTCATGTGTGTGGTAGCTACTGGGCCATATGTATTATTTTTATCAACATCAGAGTTTTTTAAAAATTTTCAGATTTTATCATGTATGAAAATGTTCAAACTCAAAAAATTAGACAGAATATTATAATGAATCCCCATAATACTTGTCATCTGATTAAACAATTATCAAGATTTTGCCACATTTATTTCATGTATTCTTCTCTTTATTTCTTCCTGTGTGAACATATTTTAAAATAAATCCCATCTGTCACCCAAACCCATACATAGTGTACGTTCCTAAAAAATATGGACTTTTTAATCTTTTTTACATAGCAATATAATAACTTACTAAATTACCAATATCACACCAAGTTTTCAGCTGGTAATTTTCCCGGGCCTGCTCTTGATGATTTGATTTCACCAGGCGGAAGAGTAAGGCCCTGCTGACGTTGAGGCAGTTCACACGCTCTAGTAGCAATAAGCTCTGGAAGCCACATTTCACACTTGCAATATGCAGAAATACCCCTAGCCCCTACTTGCCCCTCTGTAGTATTATGAGGGTGCCTGCATTGTAGGCCCAAAGGCAAAGGGACTGGGAGTGCAGTGGAGCATTGTAAAAACTGGAGGTCAGTGTAGATTGCTCATCATTTGGAAGTTGGCTTTCTGATGTCTAGATCTTTTCTCTTTCTTTTTTTCTGAGTAGAATAAATCTCTAACATGGAGGTTTTACAATGCAAGTTTCTAGGGTTTTATTCTTAAAAATAGGAGAGTATAACTACAGTCTCCTATTTTTATGAATAAATAAAAATAATCACTCTTCATACCTCTAATGTGGTGTAGTAGAAATTTGGTGGCAGAGACCCAGAGAGTGAAAAGAGGTCTCTCCAGGAGTTGCAAGAACTATTAAGTCATTAAATATGAAACGTCTGATTTTTTTTTCTTTTTTGAGACAAAGTCTCACTCTGTTGACTGGGTGAGTGCGGTGGGGGCAGCCTAGCTCACAGCAACCTCAAACTCCTGGGCTCCAGCAATCCTCCTGCCTCAGCTTCATGAGTAGCTGGGACTACAGGCATGTGCCACCATGCCCGGATAATTTTTCTATTTTTAGTAGAGATGGGTTCTCACTCTTTGCTCAGGCTGATCTTGAACTCCTGAGCTCAACCTATCCTCCCGCCTCGGCCTCCCAGAGTGCTAGGATTACAGGTGTGAGCTACCATGCCCAGCCAAAATGTCTGATTTTAAAGATTTTGAGTTAAAAGTTTAGTTTATTATATCTCAAACAAGAAGCAGTACAATTAATCAAAGCGTGTGCCTAAGCTATCAACACAGTTTTGCCATCTTAATAGTAGCTTGCTTATGCCAGCAGCAAAGAAGCCTGGAGAGTGAGTGGCAATGAAATTGCAAAAGGCCTTTTCCACAGCTTGTAAAGAATTGAACATTTTTCCTTGCAAGAAGTGGTCCGAAGCCTAGAGGAAGTTGGTGCAAGGTCTGGTGAATATGGTGGATGACAGAGAGTTTCCAAATTCAGCTTCGGTAGTTTGAGCAGTGTTGTTTTTTGCAACATGTGGTCTTGCAAGAGGATTGGCCTGTCTCTATTGACCAATCTTGGCTGCTTAATTGCAATCACTCTCATCATTTCATCTAATTGGTTGCAGTAGACAGCTGATGTCATTGATTTACCAGGTTTCATGAAGCTATAGTGGCTAATACCAGCGCTGGACCACCAAACAAACATCATTAGCTTTCCTGGATGAACATTCGATTTTGGACTGTGTTTTGGCACTTCATCTTTATCCAACCATTGTGCCAAATGCTTGAGATTGTCAAAAAGAATCCATTTCTCATGACCCATAACAATACGGTGTAGAAATGGTTCACCTTCATGTCGTGACAGCAAAGAAAGGCAAACTTTGAGACGATTTCTCTTCTGATGCTCATTTAATTCATGCGGTAACCATCTATACAGCTTCTTTACCTACCAAATTTGTTTTAAATGGTCCAATATTGTTGAAATAGAAACATCAAACCTTGCTGCTAATTCCTGCATAGATTAAGATGGATTTGCTTCCACTACAGCTTTCAGCTCATCATTATCCACCTTGGTCTCAGGTCACCCATGTGGCTCATTTTCAAGATCAAAATCACTAGAAGGGAACTTCTCAAACCATCGACATAGTGGGCGTTCATTAGCCACATCCTTCCCAAACACTTTGTTGATATTTCCAACTGTCTGCACTGCATTGGTTCCATGATGGAACTCATATTAAAAAATAACACAAACTTTTTGCTTCTCCATTGTTTCACAAAAATTGCTCCAAAAAAAAAAAAAATTGGAAAGATAATCACAAACCAAAACATCTGTGTGAAAGAATGAGGAGGGACTTCACAATAAAAATAAAACAAGAAGTATCAAAATGAAATGTCAGAGATATCAACTGTCAAACTTAGTACTTAAGGAAATCGGACATTCCATACTTAACCTGATAGTTGAGTTCTTCGAAGTAGGCCTGAGGTCCTCACATTCATTCTCTTACCTACCTACTGACATGGAACTTCAGACCTCCCCTTTTTACTTAAGAAAAATCCTTAAGCCTTATCTTGTCAGGCAAGTATTATTTCTCCTTCTAAAGGCTTAGAGAGG